TGGGATGAAGCTATGATTCTCTTTTTATGGATAACATGAAGCTAATACCTTATATTTTTTTTATATTTATATGTTTAATTATTTTATTTATGGTATCTTTAAATTTTTGAATTACGATTCTTAATAGTTTTGGTTATCTCTATAACTGAAAGCTTATGTAATTTTTATTATTTTTATGTATACAGATATAGGACGAGGTACTCGAGGTGAATCATCGTCTCAAGAAGCTAGTAATGCACTAGGTAAAGCGCAAAAGCAACTTCGACGTCTTATTCGTGGGCCTTATAAGGCTGTTCCCACACAGTAGTAGTTGCCTAGTTTGAGCCAGCCTCCCTCACAGCAGCAATTGCCTAGTTTCAGCCAACCTCCCTCATGGCAACAATTGCCAAGTTTGAGCCAACCTCCCTCACAGCAGCAATTGCCTAGTTTCAACTAGCCTCCCTCACGGCAGCAATTGCCAAGTTTGAGCCAACCTCCTTCACAGTAGCAACTGCAGCAACAACAGCATACTTTGAACCCCCCGATCCACACAGCTACACCAGCAACAATTGCCAATTCCTCTCCATCCACCCTCGCAGGTGCAATAGCAGCAACCTCAACCTCCATTGCTTGATCAAGAGCTTGGTGATGAGGCACAAATGGAGGAGGATGTAGAGGAGCTGATTGAAGAGCATAATTTAGAGGCTGAGCTTGCTGCTAAGTATGATCAGCTTGATCCTAAGTTGGATGCTGCACTTGAGGAGGAGCTATCTCATGTTGTCCAAAAGACAGGACGTGGCATGGATAAGGGGGACGAAGCACCAGTAGACCCAAGTCAAAGAAAACTACTCAAAATAAATCAGTGTGGGTCATTTAGCAATGAGAGATTTGGCAGGACAGCAACAGTTATATGGAAGTTTTTATATGATGAACCTGTGCTTTTCTGGACTAATTGGCCAAAGGAAAAGAAGATGCTTGCTTGGGAGATGTTCCAGGTATGAAAATAAGATTCAAATATTAATAGATTTTGATTATAGGGATGTTGATGCTGGGAATTTGGTGTTGGTGATCATTCTGTGGATGTGTTTGATAATTTAAATGTTTTTTTTTGTTTATGGTTAGCAGGGGGAAAGTCGATAGCTTAGGTGGAACTATGCACTTTTTAAAATATATGTATATATATATAAAATCTATTATCCATTTTTATAGGTTTAAGTACCATTTTAGTCCCTCAATTTTACACTTTGGTACCAAAATCATCCTTGAACTTTCATTTTTATACCAAAATAGTCCTTCCGTCAGTTAAATGACATGTGTAACGTTAATTTGCCAGCAAATCACTTAACTTTTTAAATGTTAATGACAGTATAAATCCAACAAGGAAAACTCCCATTTTTTTAATCAGTTAATACATTAAAAGAAAATTACTTAAATGCCCTCATCCTCATCCTCCAACCTTCCTTTCTTCTTTCTCCTGCATCTCCTCCAAGCTCCAAGCAAACC